TCCCGACCCCTGAGACCCCACAGCTCCCCCCGGGCCCCAGAGCCACTGAGCCCTTCTGGTCAGGGCAGGGCAGCCTAAGGGCTGAGGCCTGTTCTACTCACTTGCCAGCAAAGCCCTCCCCAGAGGTGGCTGCAGCGCCAGCCTTGGGCCCTGCCCGCCACTGGGGTGGCCCCAGGTCACCACTAGGCAAGGGAGCCGTTTCTAGGTTGCAGCTCTGTTATATGCAACCCCCAGTGTCCACCCCAGACTCAGCCACAGCTCGGTTACACCTGCTCCCCAGCACCCACCCCAGAACTGGCCTCAGCTCCGTTACACCCATCCCCTAGCACCCACCCCAGAGCTGTCCACATCCCAGCGTGGAATGATACCAGCCTGGGCTCCAAGCATTACAGCTGATTTAATCCTCTGGCCTGGGCCCTGCGTGCTGGGGCGGGCACACAGCACCACCCAGACATGGTGGGGGCCACTCGTAGCCACACTGAAGCTGCGCTTTTGGGGCTTGAGCTCTGTACAGCCCCCAGCACCTGGCTGGCTCCAACCCTGAGAATAAACCTTCCCCACCCCAGCCACAATCTCTGGCTCTTGCCCTGGGCAGGGAGCACGGGTCTAGGGGGGAAATGTCTTAGGAACACCCCAGGTGCGGGGGGCACAGGGAGGGGCCTGGGCGTGCGGGGCAGAAAGCAAAAGTCTTTGCAGGGCGAGAGCTTGGGTTGTGGGTGGGGGGTGCTTCATGTGGGTTCAGTACTTCTATGTGTGTCCCAGGGGGCTAGGTTCTGCGTATGTGCACCCATGTGTGCGTGTCTGGACACCCAAGTTTTGTGTGTCGGTGTGTGCATGCATGTGAGTGCATGTCTTAGATATCTGGGTGCGGGAGGAAGGGAGTCCCAGATGCTCGGGTTTTGTGCGTGATCCAAATGCCCGGTGGGGGTGGGTGGGTTCGGAAAACACGGGTTCTGTGTGTGTGTGTGCGCGCACGCGCGCCCTGGACACCTGAGCTCTGTGAGTGTATGTTTCGGATGCTTGGGTGTACGCGTGTGTCCATGTCCCGAATGCCTGGGTTCTAGGCACAGGCCAGCTGGGTTCTTTGTGCATGTGCACCCGTGCGCTCACATCTGTATGTGCAGTGCTGCCCCCTGCTGGGGGGTTCCCTGTTCTTAGCGGGGGCCCTGGGTACCGCGTGTGTGCCAGACACCTGGGTGCTCTGTGTGCGTGCCGTGGCCCAGACACCCGGCCCCTCTGTGCGCGCACCGGGTGCTGCTGGGATGAATAAAGAGCGGGGAGCATGAAGCGGGGAGCACTGCCCCCGCACCTCTCCCGAAGGGCCCCATCCCTGGCCCGGCCTGAGGGTCCAGGGCTCGAGTCTCCTGGGACCAGGAGAGGGATTCGAACTGGCGGCTCCTGGCAGGGCTGGAGTCTTCCCTGGGCATCTCTCTGTGCTGGGGTAGGGGGTGGGGGCAGCCTGGGGCATGGGACGGGGGCAGGCCAGGGGCTGGGGCTGGTGCCATCATTCTGTGGTGAAGTCTCCCTCCTCCAGGGGCTGCTTCCCCCCATTGGCCTCATCCCCGTCTCCGAGCCCATGCCCGTCCTTGGCACTCGGCTCCTGCTCCTCCATCCTGTCCTTGTAGCTGCGCTTGAAGAAGCCGCACTGAGTGGGGAGAGAAGGTGCCGCATGGGTATGGGGTCAGGGGCTGCAATGTGGCCAGACCCTCCCACTGCTGGGAAAGAGCCCAGATGTCCGGGCGCCCAGCCCCACTGCTCTCACTCCCCTCCCAGGCAGCCCAGGCAGCCCCACTGGAGGGAGCAGGCCACTGTCCCATCCCCACCCCGCCCCTTTGGGCCGTGTTGCAGCCAGCTCTGGGGTGGAGCAGGGTGGAGTGCAGCCTGTTGACAAAGGGCCCCAAGCCAGCACCAGCACCTCACCTTATACAGCACGATGATGATGAGGATGAGCAGCACAAGCCCCCCAACGCTGCTGCCGATGTACACGGGCAGGTAATTCATCACATACACCTGCTCCACCTCCGTCTGCACCTGGGGGAAAAGGGGGAACACGGGGTGAGAGCCAGACTCCCCATTCCCCCCTCCAGCTGGGCAGGGTGAGAGGTGAAGAAGGAAAAATTTCTCCCCGAGTCACGGCTACCCGCAGCGAGGACCTCCGTTATTGCCTCATTTCAGCTCCCACTTCCTGCTTAACCAAAGCTGAAATGCTAGATGCTGCTGCAGACCGCCCTCCAGGGGGCACACCTCTGGTTTTGCAGAGAGTGAATGAGGTGAAGGAGGAGCACAGGGGCAGGCTGGGAGCCCAGGTTGGGGTGCAGGCGAGGGGGGCAGTTGCGGGGGTACCTTGGCGTGGGTGAACTCGTTGTTCCACTGGCGGAAGCGGCTGTGGTTGAAGTCCAAGAACAGCATCGTGTGGATGTGGGAGCGGGATGAGTTCTGCCAGCACAGAGAGCCCCCCCGCCCCGGTTACTGCCCCTGTCCCCCACCGGCCAGTGGCCCCTGGAAGGGGAAATACCCCCGCCCCGTGCCCACCCCCAAGCCAGCCAGGGCCTGAGGATCCCCCTACCTTGATCACCAGTGGAGCCTCCAGGACCCCGGAGACATAGATGTGGACAGAAGAGCGGATCAGCCCTAGGCGGCAGAGGTAGACGTGGCAGTCCTGGGTGGGGAGAGCATGGTCGCAACTCCGTTACCCACAGCACCCACCCCAGAGCTGGCCACAGCTCCATGGATACACAGCACCCATGCCAGAGCTGGCCACAGCTCCGTTACACTTGGTCCCTGGTGCCCACCCCAGAGCTGGCTGCAGCTTTGTTCTACCCAGTCCCCAGTGCCCACTCCAGAACTGGCTGCAGCTCCGTGACTCGGGCCCCCAGTACCCACCTCAGAGCGAGCTGCAGCTCCGGGACACCCAGCCTTTGGCACCCACCCGAGCCAGCTGCAGCTCCATTATTCGCAGCGCCCACCCCAGAGCTGGCCACAGCTCCGTGCCCCTGCCTATGTGCCCAGCTCCCACCTGGCTGATGCTGTACAAGAAGGGCATGTTCTCCGGCTTCAGCTCACAGGGTTCGTCTCTGTCCTGGGGAACCCAACACCCTAGCGTCACCTCGTGGCATTGGGCTAGGGGGCCCGGGGACAGCGCAGTGCTATCCTGGGAGGAGGGGTGGTCCCTGCCCTTGTCCTTCCCCCCAGTATCGGTACTGAGGTGGGGGCAGCCAGGTGTCCGGGGAGGCATTGGCCAGGGGAGCTGGGAGGGGAGAACCCAGGTGTCCGGGGAGGGAGTGCCTGGGGAAAAGTGGGCATGGCGGACCCAGGCGTCCAGCCACTCCCCACACTCACCCTCCTGACGCTGTAGGTCTTCCAGGCCAGGCTGGCAGGAAGACTCCGAGGCAGCACCACGAAGGCCATCATCTCTGGCTGGGGCCAGGCCTCCTGGAGCAGGTTCTCCACCTGCCATGAGACCCCCACAAGGGTTTTTGGGATGGGGTCCCTGAGAGAAGGGTATGGGCCGGGACTGGCACACAAGGGTTAAGGCAGGGACGTGCTAACTAGCTTTTGTTCCTAGACAAAGCCTCTCTTTTCAGCTCCCACCTCCTGCTTAACCAAAGCTGAAGCGCTAGCTGCTGCTGGGGGAAACGCCTCTGATTTTGCAGAGCGCTCACAAGTCACCAGGGCAGTAAAAGAGGTGAACAGAGGCAGGCTGGGACAGAGAGACCGCCCTGGGAAAGGTTAGCTTTGTGAGCAGAATGGAAAGAAGGTCGTTAATGCCTGAGAAGCGCAGAACGATCAGCCATGGAGTCACCCGACTCCTGCTGCAGCCCAAATTGAAATGCCATCACTGCAGCACTGCGGGGCAGGGAAAAAAAGCAGGGGGTTTCATCCCAGAATAAACACACCCCACACTGGGGGGG